TACCTTCACTTTTATTGAAAAAAAAAATGCTATCAAAAGAGAAAGTATGGGGCTGGCGTTGTGACTCACTGGGAGAGCATTTTCCTAGCATGTGTGAAGCACTGGGTTCAATTCTCAGCACTACACAAAAATAATAAATAAACAAAATGAAGGTATTGTGTCCATCTACAACTAAAAAAAAAAAATTTAAAGAGAAAGTACAAGCTCCCATTCCCACATATATCCGCCTACTAGTATTTATACCTAAATTTTGCCTTACCTTCTTATTAATAGAGATAAATTTTGTGCGACCTCTGAGATTGACCCTTTCATTTACATAATGGATTTTACCCCCAGGACATTATGCCAGAAATTTATTCATCTCCCATCCCAGAATTTTCCTCCTCTTTTGAATTATTCTCAATTGTATAAATGCATGCTGTTACTTGTTCTAAATAAAAACAAACAAATAAATAAATAAATAATGTTATGATGTAGGAAGTATACCTCAATAAAGCTATTATTTAAAAAATTAAATTTGAACTAAAAAAAGGAATATTTCATCTCTTCTTAGCTCTTATCTTTCATATGAATTTTAGAATAACTTTGCCAGGCCTTTGAAGAATCCTGTGGGGATTTTGGGGTTTTAATGAGTTTATACATTAGTTTAGGAAGAAAATTATGTTTTCATTACTTTATCATTTCCTATTCATAATTTTGTATATATCTGTTTTTACTTATATTTTCTGTTATGTCCTTCAACAAAGTTTCATATTTTTCCATGTAAGGTATATATCTTTTTATCTAAATTTATTCCTAGGTATTTTTGTTGGGAAGTGGAATATCATCTTTTTAACACTTATTTTTCTGAGTAATGCAATTGATGTTTGCACATTATTTTTGTATTCTGTAACTTTGACTAACTTTTTTGGGGGGTGGGTACTTGGGATTTTACTCAAGGGTGCTTTACCACTGAGCTACAACCACAGTCTTTTTTATTTTTTTATTTTTGAATGGGTGTTTTGCCAAGTTGCTGAGGGTTTCACTAAGTTGCTGAGGCTGGTCTTGAACTTGGAATCCTCCTGCCTCAGCCTCCCAAGTCACAGGACATACACCTGTCCACCAATGCATCCAGTTGTAATTTTGATTAAATATTAATAGCTTGAACCATTTCTGTTGTAGACATTATCTGTGTAGCCTATCAACATTTATTATTATTGACTGTGTTAGTTTTCTGTCACTGTGACAAAATACCTGAGATGATCCTAAAGAGAGGAAAGGTTTATTGTGGTTTATAGTTTAAGTCCATAATCTGTTTGCCTCCACTGCCTTTGGGCCCATGACAACCAAAAAAGTAGAGAAGATGAGGGGAGGGAGAGAGAGGTGGGGGAGGGGGAAAGAGGGAGGGAGAGGGAGGAGAAGAGAAGAGGAGAGAAGAGAAGAGAGATCATGGTTTTAATATTCCCTACAAGGGCATGTTCCCATAGGAACACTTTCAGTTACAGCCCACTTCTTAAAGGTTCTGCTACCTTCCAAATGTGCTATGGGCGAAGGACCAAACCTTTAATATATGGGCCTTTGGGGATACATTGAAGCCATAGTACCTGCTATCTGTAAACAAAGGTTTGTTCATTTCATTTTAAGTTTCTCTTCTTTTTGTCCCTTTCTTTTGCCAAGGACATCCAGAGCCATGTTAAATAGATGCAGTAACAGAAGGCTTCCTTTCAATAGTCTTCTCAAAAGAAATGCTTCTGATATTTAATTAATTGTGAAGTTTGTGCTCTGGTATGTAGATACACATAAAAGGAAAAAAAAAATTGGTACTAGGGATTGAACCCAGGGGCCCTTTACCACTGAGCCATATCCCCAGCCCTTTTTATTTTTATTTTTATTTTTTTTTTTAATTTTGAGATAGGCTGTCACTAAATTACTTAGTTGCTAAATTGCTGAGGCTGGCTTTGAACTTGTGATTTTCTTACCTCAGGCTCCCAAATCGCTGGGATTACAGGTGTGTGCCACCATACCAGGCCTCAGTTTTCAAAGTTATCTTTCTGTTTCCTTATTTAGATCTGTATTTACCCTTTAATTCAACATTTCTCAAACTGCAGGAGTTCTGAGACAAGAATTTCTACAGTTACATCTGTTTGAGAAATACAGTGTCAAATGAAATAAAATAGTTTACTTCTAGAGCTTCATTATTCTTATGTGCACTGTGAATCTCCAAAAAAAAAAAAAAAGAAAGAAATACAGCTTGTAATATCATTCCTAATTGATTGGAACTAATTAAAATTAATTATGGAGCCTGGCACAGTGGCACATGCCTGTAATCCCAGCAATTTGGGAGGCTGAGGTAGGAGGATCTCGAGTTCAAAGCCAGTCTCAGAAACTTAGTGAGGCACTTAGCAACTCAGAAAGACCCTGTCTCTAAATAAAATATTTTTAAAAGGGCTGGGGAGATGGCTCAGTGGTTCAGTGCCCCTGGGTTCAATTCCCAGTATCAAAAACAAAAAATAAAAATAAAAAAGCAGAAAAAAGTTAATTATGGAATTTTTTGCACTGACCACCTAATAACAGCTTATGCGACCTAGTTCTTTAATCTTCAGATAGAATCATCCAGTCTTTTACTATGCTTTTCTGATGGAAAACTTGTTATATGCTGTCTCATTGCTAGACTGTAAACTCTTTGAAGGTGGATACTTCTTTTTGAAACGTTACCTGATTTTATGTATGTGTAGAGACCCTGGCGTTCTGCTTGTCTCTTGAGTCTTGGAAGGGGCACACTGGATACCACCCAGAAGTTCATGCATGGCAGGCTTGAGCTATTCAATCTAATTCAGACTTCAGGATCTTTTTGTTACATCTCAATTATACTACTTGTGAATTTAGGAGCTAGGTACTGCTGGAGCTTAAGATGAGTAAGACCTTGTTATGCTTTCCAGCAGCATTTTTCAATGGTGGAGATCAGACAAGTGCATGAATGATTCAAACAACACACAATGAGTTCAAAAGAAAACAAGAGGTACAAAGCACATTTGGAGGGCAAAGAAACAACTGGGCAGGTGAGGGATAGGAACAATTGGGAAGATTAAGAAAAAAATCTCATGGAGGATATATTATTTGGGACAGACCTTAAAGATTTAAAAAATTTAGACTTTTTTTAGGGTAGGGTATTTGGAAGAGTAGAATTACAGATGGAGGGCATAGCATAAGTAAGGCATGGATGTAGGAATAAGTAAGCAAGTTCAAGTAGCTCTGTTTTGCAGGAACATTTGGAATATATGGAATGAGTTACAGATGACCACTGCATAAATAATAAAAATAGGAATAGGAACTTGAATGCCAATTTGGCTTTATATTGATGCTGCTGTCCTCAGAGAGCCACTATAAAACTTTTTAAATGGAAGAGTGATATGGGGACAACTTGCTTCTCTCCCACCTCTTTCCTTTGCCTCTGTCCAACACAGAGCTATTCTCTTTGCCTCTGTCCAACACAGTAATATATCAAAACTTCAGCCAATAAATCAAACTTCCTGTCTCCTGATCTACCTATGGAGATATTTTTGGAAAGCTGTCCAAAATACTATAGAAACCAGGATATTAGAATCTAGTATAATGTGCCTGAATCTTTGTATAACATGCCTGAAACCAGGGTGTTGAGGAGAGGGTGTCTTGGAGAAGAATGTGTTTAGATGAAGAGTACAGATAAGAATTTTTAGGTGGATTTAACAATAGTACCGAGGGGAATTATGCTTTCAGGTGTCAAAAAGGAAACCAGTAAGAAAAAACAACAGATGGATGTATATGGCAAATTCCAACTAGTGAGCCAGGAGAAAAAAAAACTGTAGCTAGTAAGCTGTTGTGAAAAGGTGAGTGAACTCCAAACAACTGGAGGGTTAGTTCGAGGCCACCCACCAGCCTTTAAAAGCGCTATCCCTCCTGGGGTTATGTTTTAAGAATTTCTAGTAGAGTTGAGATGGGCCTAGGGAAGCTGTGTTTGATGATCTTATGTTTCTGTGACCTGGACTTTGAGGTCATCAGAGTAAACGCGTTGGGGGAGGAAAGTACCTTTGGCATTGAAAGTGCTTGAAGGTCTGGGCAAGCTGGTCCCTGCTGGGAATCAATAAAAGAGGCAGAGCAATGCTTCCAGGAGGTTTTT